ATGCCTTCTGGATCTTAGCAAGTTACACACATGAGTGAATAGCAAACATTATTGAGTATATATGAGCCAGGTAATAGTGAAACTGTTTTAAGTGATAACTTATTTAGTCCTCACCACATCTTTTAAGAGAAAAACACTATGCGATTCATAACCCCACTTAATTATCTCAATTTCATTGTTGGACCTCCGGTGCAGAGGTATGAACTCAGAATCCTTAAGATCATAGCATATCAATATCATTCTCTATGTCTAATTTATTTATTTCTATTTTTTCTTATACTTCCACTGCCATTCCTTTCTGCCTCTCCCACTTAGAATTAAGATTCTAATGTGTTTAATCTGTATCTTCTTGGGGGGTGATTTGCAACATATGTATTTGCTACATGTATTTTTCATTCATGTAGATAATGTTATGCTCTAGAATTCACCGTTTCTAACTGTTATTAGTCAGCCCTAGACCTTTAAACTACATCCACTTTACTATGCATCCGTTTAATTTTCTGTCTAACTGCTATAAGTACTCCGTGCTGTGTATCTGCTACATTTTACTGTCTACTCCACCTGCAATAGATTCTCAGGTTGCCTCCTCCTGCTGTCACACAAATGTTATAATTCTTGCACCATTTGTTCCGTTTATTCCAAATGTTCCCATAAATGCACTGCTATACATTTCCTTATGTAATTATGTTAAAATCTCTTTCAAATAAGTATACACAGAAGCATAAATTTAAGGTCAAAGCATGTACATGTATGTTAAGATTAAATTCTGCCACCATGCTTTCTAGACTGGCTGCACTGACTCAGCCTAGCAGCAAGGAGTTAGGGTCCCTATACCATCACATCTCTCCAATTCTAAGCACAACCTAGCTCTATAATTTTGGACTTTGTCCCTATATTTAATAAGCACAAAATTTTACTATTCCTAGCTTGAAGATGAGAAGTCAGAGATACAGAAATATTCAGTAATGGCTCAAGCTCATGATGAAACGGATTCAGAAACCAGGTAGGCTGGCTCCAGAGTCCATGCTTTCATTCACTGTATTATATTTCTATCCTCAAAGGCAGAAATAGTAAAGTACCAAAATTGTGGCAATCTAGAGAGCACAGGTACTGCCTTATGGCAATGTAGCATTTAAAAGTAATAACGACAAAAATGAACATAGGGTTCGATCCCTGGGTTGGGAAGATCCCCTGGAGAAGGAAATGGCAACCCACTCCAGTATTCTTGCCTGGAAAATCCCATGGACGGAGGAACCTGGTAGGCTGCAGTTCATGAGGTTGCAAAGAGTCGGACATGACTGAGCAACTTCACTTTCGCTTTTCGCTTTCAATGACAAAAACAGTAACTAAAGAATATGGCAAAGGAAAATCATATGTGGGCTGAAGTGATTCAAAGTCCATCATTATATAATCTCTATATAATGATTTTGGGATAGGTAGAATCACTCCTAAATCTGCTTTCAGTAGCTACAGCCAGTGGTTAATAGACAGCTCCCATTGTGATTTAAGAGTTCACCTTACTTTCAGCACAATGAGGAATGTCAACTGAGCACTGGCTATAGCTTCAGCTACTGAGAGCACATTTAACTTGTGCTGGCTGAGTCATAATGAAAAATTCCAAATATATGTTTGAAGTCATGGGTGGGAACAGATAAGTATATTAAACTGCTACTAAGACATACAAAAATCCTCCCTCAACTGTTAGCAATTAAAACTATTAGATAAATGGCAATAAAAAACATATGAAAGCATTCTATTTTTTAATGACCAATCTACTCTAGAGCTCACACAGCTACTCTATTAATATATAGCAAGAAAAAATCATTGTGATTGGATTTAAATCAGGAAAAGTTATACATTTCTCTAATCATTTAAATAAAATGCTTGTATAAGAAGAGAGCAAGATATTTAAAACAAACAAACAAAAGAACCATCTGGGGTCTCTTCAATACAATTGTTATGTCTTTAAGAGTTTCAGAAAGAACAAAGCATTCCTTGGACGCAAAACTCACCCATCTGTTCTTCATCATATTGTCTTCTGATTTCAACCCCCCACTATTGGAAAGAAAATGTTCTAAGGAAAGTCATCAATGACCTTCTAATTAAGAAATTTCTCAACTGCTTCTTAATGCTCATTTAAACTTGGAGGAGACTCTTGAGAGTCCCTTGGATTGCAAGGAGATCCAACCAGTCCATCCTGAAGGAGATCAGTCCTGGGTGTTCATTGGAAGGACTGATGCTGAAGCTGAAACTCCAGTACTTTGGCCACCTCATGCGAAGAGTTGACTCACTGGAAAAGACCCTGATGCTGGGGGGGCTTGGGGGCAGGAGAAGAAGGGGACGACAGAGGATGAGATGGCTGGATGGCATCACCGACTCGCTGGACATGAGTTTGAGCAAACTCCGGGAGTTGGTGATGGACAGGGAGGCCTGGCGTGCTGCAATTCATGGGGTCGCAAAGAGTCGGACATGACTGAGTGACTGAACTGAACCGAACTGAAACTTAATTCTGACTTCCTTGGTGGCTCAGCCATAAGAAATATGCCTGCAATGCAGGAGATGTGAGTTTGATCCCTGGGTTAGGAAGATACTCTGGAGGAGGAAATGGCAACCCACTGCAATATTCTTGCCAGGAAAATCCCATGGAGAGCCTGATGAGCTACAGCCCACAGGGTCTCAAAGAGTCAGATGCAACTGAGCAAAGACTTAATTTAAAACTGAACTTGACCATATTAATTACATTCTCCACAAGGTCACCTCTTTTCTGATTTACTTACTACTTTTGCCTTTGATGTTAAAAGTTGATTGACTTGTATATAGAAATTTACAGATAAATCAATTTCTACAAAGTGAACACACCTGAGTCACTTCCAACCATATCAAAAATAGAACATCACCAGCAAATCAGAAGCCCCCTTCATGCCTCCCTTCTCAACACTAACTCCCTTCCTCTACAATTTTTCTCTTATTTTTATCCACTTTAAACTTTTGTAGAACCACAAATAATGCTTCTTTGTGTCTGGTTTCTTTGGCTCAAAATTATATTAGTGAGATCCATCTATACTGTGTAAAGCAATAGCTATTTTTTCTCATTGTATAATACTTATGAATATGATTATAAACATTCAATAATTTATTTTCATATTCTACTTTGTGGATATGATGATAGTGAAATGACAGTATTAAAAATAATAGTATTAATTTCCATATTGGTAATACTAGTAGACAGATGCAACAGAGTAGACATTTAAAAGCATTATTTTCAATTATGTAATTGCCTACATTATACCTAAAATTACTTAAAGTAGATGATGCATTTAGTCCTAATCTTTAATGAAAACAAGCTCTCTTACTAAAGCAAAGCAACTTTTCCTCAATCGCTTTCTAGCACTCAGTTTCATAAAGGAAAGCTTTTTACATAGAAATCTTCTTGGTAGAAGCGGTAAACATGATACATAGACTTCTAATTAGATAAATGAAATGCTGAGTTGTTGAGACATGGCCCAAATTATTGAGAAAAATATATTTTTAGACCCAAATTAATTGTTTCAATATTACAACTATTTTTTATAGTTTCCCTTACTTTGAGGATATGCTAAACAATGCCACAGAAACTAGAAACATCCCCATTTCTTTACTGGGTTAGTGCAATTCTCATCACAGCACTTGAAAACTTTAAGAGAAAAAGCCTAAAATTCATCTCCTAATTTCACCCCTTAAGTCTACTCTAGTCAGCCACATGGTCTTTATATAAAAACTAGTCAAGATATTTGTAAACATGTGACTAAAATGGCAGAAACCAATACCTGAAAGAATCCTCTGTTTGTCTGTCACTAATGCTTTAAAAATGTCACTAAAATCTGATTTAGGTATTCAGAAAACTTGTTTCTTCTGACATAAATTTCAGACATGCTAAAGTCAAGTAAAATGATCAACATATTTTCACAGTGAAGATTAGCTGTTGGTATTTTCTATTGAGAATTTTCCATCAAAAGGAACAAGGCTTTTTCTGTATCTTTCTCTCTCTCTCTTTATATATATATATATATATACACATACCTTTACATATATATGTACACACACACTTTGTCAATAGTAATTTTTGAAATGTATTGATACATATTCACAATATAAACACATATCTATACAGTAGTGGAGCTCAGTACACTGTTTTAAAAAAAAGATCTTCTAAGTCATTTATAATTCTTAAATTTCTTTTCATGTTTATTGGTCTTTGTTAATTCATTTCCCAGTAAATTTTTAATGAGTTTTTAGTATGGGCCAGGCATGCTAGATGGGCAGAAAATATAAATAAATCACCCTCAAGAAGCTCTTAAATTAGTTGTAGGGCAATGCACATAAATTAATAAAATATAAAGCAATGTGATAAGCACTGAAGCAGAGTGGGAGTTGTCATAATAGCAGGAGGGGTAGCAGTAGATAGAAATGGGAGTGTGGCCTTGGAGCCACATCCTTCGAGTCAAATTCTCTCCAGTGTTTTCTAACATGTGACCTTGGGAAGTTTTAAAGTCTCTCTATGCTTCAGTGTACATTTCTTAAATAGGGGTAACAATTAGTGACCATTAAATGAACTATTACAGATAAAGTTCACTTAGAGGAATATTGGATGTATCGCAAGTACCAAAACTATCCATTAGCATCAGTACCACAAGACACAGAGTGCGCGGCATCTTCTGGATGCAGATATTACACTGGGTACTTAATAAACATCATCTCATTTTACTCTTGTAAAGTCCTGTGAGTTTCACATTCTTATGCTAATTTTATAGAAGAGAAAGTGAGGCCCAAAGATATTAGTGACTTGTTCAAGGTCACACCATGCAGTGATTTGGAGAAGTGGACTCCAGGTCCTTACATTCTGAAACAAGTGCTTTGACAGCATAGACAACGGAGCAGCATGTGTTTTCCTGGGAATCTGCAAACTACTTTTTGGAGGTGGGTCATTTGGAAATGGAAACTCATGTACATTAGCTGGAATACATAAAGCTAAGAATTTCATTTCTGCCTGGAGGAATAGCAGGGTAGGGACATTAATCCATGAGGGGAAAAAAAAAAAAAAACAAAAAACTGGCAGCTTTAGTAATGAGAGAACAGTTCTGTGTTTGTGTGACAGGAAATAAGGTTGGAGTATGAAAGTTGTGGCAAATTGAAACTTACCGTGAAAAGCGCCAGTATCCCAAATTCAGTGCAATTAATGGGGCCCAGCCCTGAGCCTGCTAAGGCCGAGTTTCAGTTTCTCTCTAGGAAGGCTGCTCCCACTGATGCTTACAGATGAAGCAGGTGTATATTTTCAGTGGAGGAGACTCTGCCTCAGCTGGTGATTTTAAATAAAGGCTGGTCCCTTAGCTCAGTCCACATTACAAGACATCAGTTTCTCCAAAGGGTGAACCAAAAGGCTCCTGTTATCTGTTCGACTGACAATGAAATGAGAATCTAGTATGCAAAGAATGCACATGTTTATCATAGAATGATAGGAAAAAAGGAACCACAAAGAAAAGTATATACACTGCTTATATTGCAGTTATATTCATTTAACATTAAACACATCACTAGATTGACCTCTGATTTGTTTGGTCTCATACCTGCAGTTTGCCTTAAGGCATTTGGCTTTCCCATTTTCACAAATCTAATTTAGTAACTTTAGTGCTTATTCCAAACATTTTCTTGCTTGCTATTACTTTTTGGCTGGCTACCTTCGCATAATGGAGACATCACTGAATTTTTCCATGTTAATTTCCTCCACCACATGCTATGGCAGGCTACCACCCCTAGCGTCTTTTCAGGTTGTTTGCCTTAGATGAAGCTCCCTCCTAAACCATACACAGTGGTCCCCAACCATTTTGGCACCAGGGACAGGTTTCATGGAAAACCAATTTTTCCATCAATGGGGAGTGCAAGGAGATGGTTTTGGGATGATTCAAACATACTACATCTATTACGAACTTTATTTCTATTATTACATCAGCTCCACCTCAGAGTATCAGGCATTAGATCCCAGGGGGTGAGGATCCCTGCCATGCAGCATAGACCATATTTCTTTTTACAGCTCATTTATCAGACTTTCCTGTAAGTCACATTTTGAAGTAGATTTTGTATTTTAGATTTTTGCATTTCCCTTTTTCTTTCTTTACTACTGATTGATGTAATTATGAAAACCATCCTTATGGTAACAGTAAAAGATTTGTAATATTCAAAGTTTGATTTTGTGCACATACACATCAGTTTGTTTTTTGTGTTTTTTTTTTTTTAAATTGGAATTCTGGGAACACATGGAGATGGGTGTCTTTTCCTTCTACCTTAAATGGGTTTTTTATCAGTTGGAAATAATGTAGTCAGTTAACACCAAACTATTGTGCCAAAACATGCAGAGAGATCCTCAAAGATAATACATTGGTATTTTTTAAAGTGTTTCTACAAGTGCTATGAGTTACATATGAATATCAAAGAGAAAAGACAGAAGCAACTACCTGGTAATCATCTGTGCTCTTATGGAGCTAAATACCATCTGGTACACATTCTTAATATTTCCTCCTCAAACACCTTAATAAGCTGTACCATTGACATACCATATGTCTCTCTTAGATGGTAATAACTGTGGAAAAAGGAAAAAACAAAACATTACTGACAAGTATACTAACAAGGCATGCTAAAATTGCATTTGTGCCACTGCATGGAGAATTCACTTTGACTTTACAACATTTCAGTTGTTGGTGTTTGAATGTAAGTTAAAACTCCACTGTAACCCAATCTGTTACAATATGAATTTAAGACCTACCACTTCATGTCTACCAATACCTAACCATCAGAGAAATTGTGAAGTTGAATAAATGATTATATTGTTAAATCATATGGATTTGTCTCCTAACACATATTCCATGAATTTTCTTGAGTATTTTAAATATTCTAAAGTGATCTTTTTTGGAAAAATACTTTATCTGATTGCTTTTTTATTTTCCAAAACAAAACAAAATCACAAAAATACTCACCAGCTCCTTTGCCAAATTAGATTGTGAGTTTCACAAGAGAGGGACCCTGAGTAATACCTAGCACATAGTAGGTGCTCAATAAAAATTTATCTAACAAATGAGTGTATAAATTCCCATCCTACTGTCTTACTTAATCAATATCACTTTCTTCTATTTTTGGGTGCTTCCCTGCTGGCTCAGACGATAAAGCGTCTGCCTGCAGTGCGGGAGACCGGGGTTCAATCCCTGGGTTGGGAAGATCCCCTGGAGATGGAAATCGCAACCCACTCCAGTACTCTTGCCTGGAAAATTCCATGGGCTGAGGAGCCTGGTAGGCTACAGCCCATGGGGTGGCAAAGAATCAGACACGACTGAGCGACTCCCCTTTCACTTTCATATTATTAGTCTCAAAATAGTAATGTCAGGAATAAGTATGACAAGTATTTAATATAGCCTCAATCACTTCCATCAGTCCACCAACTAGATGGTTTCTACTCTTAGCAAAGTAGTATTGTGGTCAGTGCTGGGGAAAAAAAGCCTTTATCCTTCCAGATCTCATTCCAAAGTAGCAAAATTTAAATGTAGAATTGGGATCGAAACAAATAATGGCAGAAATCCATTCAGTAATTTTCACTTCAGTCTGCCCCAAAGACAGACTGTGTCTTCTGTGTCACTTTTTCTGAAAAAAGTGAGAAATAGTCACTCTCTCAACCACTATACCTACACATTAGGCAGCAAGAATTATATATACTTGGCAATTAGGAGCTGATAAAATGAAGATTAAAATGTCATTCTACTTTGATTGGTGTTCTTCTATAAAAGGATTGTGAAACAAAATTAAAATAGTAGAGTAGGAATAAGTTATGAAGTTTAAAATTAAAAACAAACTTGAACTTAATTAATTAGTAACAAACAGTATACTAGTTGGACATAAGGTGTAACGCAGAAGAATTTCTGACCCGGTAAGTGAGAAATCACTCAGAAAGTCAGCAGGTAGACAAAGTAAGATAACCAACACAAGTGAAAACCAAAATATCTTAGAAATATTTGGGAAACACTGTTATTTTCTCTATTCTCACAAAGAATAAAAGCCATCTGAAATATAAAAGTACCCAGATTTGAAACATGGGCACCTGCAAAATATAATAATGCATAGTAAAAAACACTAGGAAATGAATTTTAAGAGATGGATATACTAAAATAAAACATTTTGAATGTGCTCAAGTCTACATTTTGATTCTAAATGCCTCTGCTGTGTGCCATGATTCCCAACGTCACACACGTTTTAAAAGCACCATGTGAACAGATGGAATGATGCTAGAGTCAAACCTACAGGTATGTGTTGAAAAAAAACGGGAAACAATTGCACAAAGTAAGACACAAGAATTTAGAATTCTCATATCGCAAGTCATTTTCCAGCATGCAGAGTAAACTCTGAAAAAGTATGCTTCATTTAAAATGAAAAAGTTTAGTTAATTGCAAAGCTGGCTTATATCTCATGCCCCAGGGTGCCAGGCCAAGTTATGAAACTGACTCAGGGTTCTGAGTTTAATTTCTTTTTTTTTCTCTCTCTTTATCAGTAAACCCCAGGATTTGGACCCTGGAAAGGCACTTGCAGATGAGAGACAGTGGGATTAGCAGAATGGCTCATTTCGTCCAACAGTGACATCTACTGTCCATTCACTAGATTTACCAAGGCTGCCACGTAACAGGCAACCTGAGGAACTGGGGATAATTATGTGTTTATGCAGGTAATAAAGGAAAGTTTATAATAGAAGGAAGTACTCAGAAATGAGGACCAAAAAAAAAAGAATCTTCAAAAGATACCAGTTTTCAGTACTTGCTAGCAAAAGAATAAGCTATTTTTAATTGTTTTTTGAAATTGTTCTAAATTTTGGGGGGAGTTTTTTTTAAAAAGTTATATAAAACTATGTTTCAAAAAAAACCTAAATAAAATTATGCTTAAAAAACTTAAAACTAAATTAATTTATATAAACTAAATTTCTGGAAATTGGTAGATGTAGAAGCATATGAAGTAATGGCAAGTTTAAGTATTACATTTCTGTCTCTGAAACATGTGCAAAGATTTGTACATTTCCACAGTAGCAGCTTAGTCATATCACTTCTAGAAACATGAAGAGAAAAACAAAAATAAAAACTATAAACTTTATTTTCAGCAAGTGCATGAAACAAAGACAGACCCTCTAACTCCAAATCTTACAAGTTGTTGTCACAAACGCTACTGAACTGAGTTAAGAAGTACTCAAGGGAAGTCAGGATTCGGCAGAAGAAATAAACTGAAAGGTGGGGACAGCTGATGGTGGCAGATCACTAGAAATCCACAAACAAGTGTATGAATCCAGAGGAGAAGCCCCAGCCAGAGTCAGAAATGCTGGAACAAAGTTAAAAGCTAACAGGATAGAGTCCTCAGGGAAGTGGAGAAAAAATCCTCAGAGGTGGAAAACCTCAGAAAACAAACTACAAAGTGTAACTTCTAACACTGAATGAATCAATCTGGAAGGCAAGGGTTGTTTCACTCGCGGCAGGGCAGTGGGAAACAGGAAAGGATACGCGTGTAGATGGAAGGTGTCCCAAACCAGTTTGGGTTCTGGGAATCAAAACAGCAGTAGATGTATAATATCTCAAACCAGGAGGAGGTAGTTTATCATTACAGAAAATGATGAGAGGGCCCTGGAGCCGTGGTGCCTGCACAATTCTATAACCTCTTTCCCACTTCCTACAAGAAACTCCTGCTGTTAGGTAGTCAAGAAAATGCAATACTCCCATGTGAGAAACACTAAAGGAATTTGCTTAGCATTCAGGAAAGATACTATAAGAACAAAGATGAAAAGGAGCACATCAACTCTTTTAATCATCAGAAATATGTTGTTATGAAACAGAAGAAAAATGTAATGAATATTTGTACATGCCAATGTAAATTTAAACAATTTAAAATATATAGAGACCAGGAGATGAAACACGAGGTCTCAAGAAGAGATGGCCAGAGAGTGAAATTGAAAGTAGCAGGATTCATGAAAGAAACAGGATTAAAAGTAGAAATCATTTTAGAAAAGACTAATACAAACAAAACAAGAAAGACTGGTCTGCAAAGAAAGTAAGAATCATAAAGAGGAGACATGAGAGAAGAAAACAAAATTAATCCTCTCCTCTTTCCAAAGAAGCAGAAATATAGAAAATAAAGCAGAATTAGAAAAACTTATCTAAGGCCAAGTTAAACCATATAGGTATATATATAATATAAATAGGTATACCTATATAGTTTATATATCTATATATATAACATAATACCAGAAGGTTCAATCCCAAGACAAATCATTGTATAATAATTGAACTTTAAGAAAGCATTATTTGGAAGGTTAAGTGCAAAGGTCAAGACATACAGAAGAAAGGAAAAACAATGGGGCATCAGTGTTTCACAGCAACAAGTTGACACCAAGAATATAGGAGGCAATATGTACAAGCTAATCAAGAAGAGAAAAAAGCTAATAGCTTTATCTTTATCCTCCCAAAATATCCATCAACTGTAAAGTCTACAGAGAGGAGTATCTATGAATTCAAGGAAGGAAAATCTTTTTACTGGAGGAAAAACCTCAGTCAATGTGGTGCTGATCAGGACTACTCTCATCAAGTCAGTCTCCTGCATTGCAGGCAGATTCTATTGTCTGAACCACCAGAGAAGCCCCCATTAAGACTAGTAGTGAGCATCAAATGCATTTGTCTATAGATTTAAGGGGAAAATTGTGTAGAAAATGTGAAAAACACATTTTATGGGCAGTTCTGACAGTGTACGAATGATCCAACCATAAAAGTTAAGAGGAGGGAGTGAGTAAAAGATGTAAAAAGCAGAATTATCTCCCTGATAGACTCATATGTTACAGTTGAGAGTAACAGAATATTTTTAAGGCTCACAATCCACCCATATTAATATAAACATATTAAACAGTACAAGCAAATATTAATAAAAGCCTAATTACAAAAACTGAATAGCACAGGAATAGAGAAACTAGAAATAGCACCTATTCTAATTTTATTGCCATTCAGTATCGAGGCATTAGATATTATCTAAAGAAATGAGAAGAAATTTAAGTACAGAAAAAATTATAAAAATAATGACTAGAAAAATACATCTACCCTGTCAACAAAAGTAAATGATCATTTATTTTTTGAAATTCTAATAGTATTAATTAGAAAGCAATACTCAATGTTATGATATATACAAGGAATATTCCTTTAAAAAAGAGATCAAGAGTGTCTTTGAAACGAGTTGATCAATACAAACAAGGTAAATGAAAACAAATGAATTATCAGTCTATTTTTACACCATTTTTCCTTGTTTATATTTTTATTCCATTTTTAAAATGGGTTAACATATTTAAAAGTCTCTTCTTTAATATTATTTTTCTGATAATTCTAACTTTCTGATTCTGTTTCTTTTTTTCCCCCGTTTCTCTCATAATATTTATTTTCCTGGACTGTCTTCTTGCTGTTGATTTTATTCTCTTTTATTTTGATTGAGAGAAAAACAACAGGAAACTTGAATCAGTGAAGGTTGCCTCTCTAAATTTTGATCATCTTTCATAATCCTCTCCCTTTTGTTTACTTTTCA